ACTTGAGTGACAGGTGGATTGCCGCTGCTGTCACCACCGTCGAGCTAGGTGGGCGTGGTTTCAGCAGCCAGCTCCCGCCTCTTTGCCCATATCTGGGAGTGACGCGCGGTGACGCGCTGCCAAGATGGCGACGGCCGGCTCCGCCCACTTTTGAGCTTCAAAAACGCTCTTCTGAAATCTACGGGTGACGTCACGGACACTACGTCCATGTTTTTATACAGTCTATGGTTTTAATGCGCAGCGCTGTAAAAACGCGTCTGTCTCTTCTGGCTCTGCGCAAGTCAGCGAACGCAGATTTGAATTTAGCAGCTGGTGATGTTTTACTTTGTTCCATTACTGCCACCCACAGGACAAACTGCGCATTGCACCCAATATTATTTTGTGTGATACGATTCCAAATTTAGGGGGGCCAGAGCCGGGGCCAAGCTTGTTGACACGGGGGCACTGGCCCCCCTCGGCCCCCCCCTAGAACCACCCCTGACTAAAACCATCTGAGAATGAAACATCACATCATATCTCTAATTGACCATGAAGAGCACCATTGAGTCATGAATAAAACCTCGATTTTTGGTCATAAATGTTTCTTTTTTTGGTTACAGCACAGTGAGAGAGGCAGAAATTAGATTTACCAATTTAATAAAGCAAATCATTAGTCAAAGCAAAACACACACACACACACAAAATGGAAAATAATTACACGCAGACAGAATGCCAGTGATTGTGCGGTCACTTATTTATATTTTTACAAACCATGATGTGTGTAAATGTGCAGACACCAAAATGGTATTATATGTTAAATCATGAGAGTATTTATTTTTTAAATGTTTATATTAATTAACAATAATGGTTTATAACATATACATATATATATATATATATATATATATATACACACACACACACATTTTTTGTTCATTTTTCATTGTGTATACACACACCCCTTGTATTTATTTGATTTTAAATACAGTAAAAACAGTAATATTGTAAAATATTATTACAATTATTTAAAATAACTGTTTTATTTTAATATATTTAAAAATATAATTTATTCCTGTGATGACAAAGCTGAATTTTCAGCAGCCATTACTCCAGTCTTCAGTATTACATGATCCTTCAGAAATCATTCCAATATGCTGATTTGTTGCTCAAGAAACCTTTATTATTATTATCAGTGCTGAAAACAATTGTTCTGCTTACTATTTTTGTAAAAACCATGATATTTTTTTTTCAGGATTTTTTGATGAATAGAAAGGATAGAAACAGAAATCTTTTGTAACATTATAAAAGTTTTTAATGTTTTGTCTTTTTCAATCAACCTAAAGCATAAAAGTATTTTCATTCACCATGCTGAATAAAAGTATTTTCTTTAAAAAAAAAAAAAAAGAACACAAATCCTACATAATGTGACCAGTATGGTCATGAACTGGATGGCAAAGGAGGATTATTACTACACATTCTTGTCCCGTTTTCATCTAAGTGTGACTGATATCTCTACCAGCTTGTGTTCAAAGATTCATTCACGGATTAACTAGGTTCACAGTTTCATTTTCATGTGTGCTTTTCTGTTATATTTGAAGCATCTTTTTCTGCATACCTCCTATAGTGAGATAGGTTAAGCTTGATTTTATCATTATTTATTTAACGAGGTCACGCTTTATCTCTTTCAGTGTTTGGGCTTCCTTTCTTCTACTCTGATGTAATTAAATATCACATTACCATATTCTTTCATGTCATCCCGCTCTTTCTCTCTCTCAGTTATCTGTGTCTAGCACAATGGATGCTACGTTGCAGTTGTCTGTGTTTGACCAAAAGGGGGTGCAGTTTGATAATTTCACTTCCTGTTCAGTGAGATGGACCTCCTCTGACCTTGGTCTCCTCTCATTGTGTCCCCAGTCCACAATGAAAGATAGACTAACCCAGACAGGCTACAAACTACATGGTGTGTTTGGGTTTATATATATATATATATATATATATATATATATATATATATATATTATGCAACATGTTTGAAAAAAAAGATTAAAATGACTTTTTACTTGATAGATACACCACATAACCTTTAATGAAAATGGTATAAATGTTTTTCAAAACCATATGAAACCAATGGTGTCATTGACCCAAATCTAATAAATCTATCTGTTCTAAAGCCTGGCAGGTTCTTCAAGCCCACAGACAGACAGGAACTGTGACTGTCAATGTTACTCTTAGATGTCCAGAGGTGTGTGTTTATGTGTTTATTTTTGATTTGTGCTGTAATGTGTCCATATTAATGTGTGTAGGCCTGAGTAACGTATGAACTATGTACCCTGTATAAGATGTTGACAGCTCCAGCGTCTCAGTGTGTGAATCTGCGTTTGGTAGATGATGTACAGTGGGCCAGACACTCTGTCACTTTATTCAACCATCCAAAAGTCTCAGTGAGCAAGTTCATCCCTCTCTACCATTTCTCATCTGGCCTGTTTTTTTGTTATATTTTAATGACTCCTCAGTCAATACGTTCATCTCTGTAGGAAAATATGACCTTGATTCACGGCTCGGGTCACTTTCATGTCCATCTACAAGACAACCAGTTAGCCAGCATCAGTCATATGGAGAACGGAAATAGAATACAGGTAAGAGATTGTCTTCAAATATTTCACCACAAAGTGAGAGTACAGAACTAACTAACTAACTGTATTTTGCAATACAGATAAACTAGTTCACTTATAATCTTTCTATCCCAGGTGTCCCCACTTCAGTCTGGTTCCTCAGTTCTTTTGGCTCATGACCTCTGTGTAACCTCTGATCCTGCTGTGGCCTCCTTTCTTGTCTCTGACATCAAAGATTTCCGGATTGACTTCGTTAATACTGTACGATGTAGACCGAAGCTCCTCATCTCTTTCATCTTTTTAGATTTTATTACATATTTTTATCTTATTATTTTTTTTTCATTTCATGTTCACTGAATCTTTGTCTCCTATGTGTATGCTTTTTAGATTGAGGTCAGACATTCTGCTGTAGTGCTAGTGTGTGTTCTGGACTCAAAGAATCAACCGTTTCTTCACCATTACCTGTTGCTCATGAACCTCATGCTTATCCCTTCTTCATCTATCATTTCTGTGGAGTGAGTCTATGCCATGTGTTTTTCCTTGTTTCACATTTTGAGTTCAAGGACTACATTCTGCCCTATGTCTTTTAATTTAAAAATTATAGAATGATAATGATATAATATTTAATACATAATAAAAGTGAATAAATATGACTAAGTTAAGATGGTGGTGAGATGCTGGAAAAATAGTCAGGTGTGAGGCAAGTGGCTTTGGTTTGAATTATGAATGCATAGGTGAATCTAAATTTAAGAATTCCATTTCAAATTTAAATTAATTGAAATATAATTAAAATGGAATGAAATTCAAAGAAATACCTATAACTTTGTAGGAGTAATTTTCAGGAGAATGTTATCATATGCATATGAGGTATTTCCAGAAACATTTAATTATATTAACAATCAAATGTATTTAATTAATATATATATCCTATATAATATATATGTATTTAATTAATATATATTTGAAAATTTTTGTACATATTTTAGTTATTTATAACTTTTCATTTGTTCTTTCACAGAAAAATTAAAGCTAAAAACTAATTTAAAAATTTGAGTTAAAAATTCTAGTTGTAAAGCAGGTAGCTTTTGAATCATATTTTTCTTGAGTATTGTTATTGAGTACATTATGTATGCTTACAGGGACACGGGGCCAGTGGACAAGTACAGTGTGGGATTCCGTGTGACCGGCCTGACAGTGGGTGTGGTCAGTCTCCACCTCTCAGCAGTGGATGGACATGGGCGTACTATAAGCTCCTCCCACAAGAATATGCAAGTTTACCCTCCATTCAGTTTGCAGCCCCGTAAACTCACTCTGGCAGTTGGAAGCGTGCAACAGGTTGGCATGACAAGACACACCAAACCATAAGTTGGTTTCCACAGAAACACATTTTTTTACTATAAATATATATTTGTTGTTCAGGTGAAATGGGAGGGAGGGCCTCATCCTCAGAACGGTGTCAAGTTCTCCGTGAGTGACAGCTCTATCGCCGTGGTAACTGAGACAGGACTGGTCAGAGGTGTGGCAGTGGGTGTGGTCAAACTCAGAGGAGCTCTTCAGACACAAGATACAGAAGCATTGATTACTTTTTTACAGGTAGCCCGCATAGTTTACCTTTGCGAAACCTGGATTTCCATAGTTTTTTTTTTAAAGCCATTTGTAATTAATTTCCTGCCTTGTGGAGCCATACAGCCCATACTAAATATTGTTATTTACAAACGATCACATAGCAGTAGTCACACTGCACATTTTTGCATTTCACTTTGTCTCACGCATGGCACAGCATTTTAAAAACATGGTGCTCAAGGTGAAGTTCAGCTTTTAAAAAAAATATGCTTTTGCTTTAAAAAAGGCGAGGTTTAGGGCAGCAGATTAAAAGAAATGCAGGATCTAGAGACATGTTTTTTTTTTTAAGTTTAGCTTTATTTTAACTTGAGCTCCACGTTTTTAGAACAATTTGTCATGCAAAAGATGCTCGATGCAAACACAACAGTCAAAAACTTCTGTCTAGTGCATGTTTACATAGAAGAACAATGGAAAAGCAGCACGGTCAAATGCAAAATGGCTTCTTACGACTTTTAAAAACCACATTTTTACATATTTGTTTTTTTTATTTCAACACAAAAACATTTTGTGTAAAATGCCTCCTACTTAGATACTGATAATTATGAAAGTGACTCAAGAGCAAACATGTATGCTTGATGTGATTTTCCATTGCCGTGACACCCAACATGAATAATAAATGACTACTTACCCAATGCAGCAAATCCAACCTTTCATCCCTTATGCCTTAATTATACGTTGTCATCACTACCATTACTACATCTGTGCTCATACACACACATCATGTGCTTACATACACTCACATTACATATTTTAAACTATAATAATGATCTCCCAAAAAATAAAGAGACAACATTTTATATTTCTAAAAGATGTAATGCTATGCTAATGCTAAACCTAATAACTGTATGTGTGCTGTGATCAGGATGAAGTGGAGGTGGAGGTGTTTAACCTGACAGCAGTGAGGATACAGGCTCCTTTAGTGACTCTCTCCGTAGGAACAGAGGTTTGTCCATCTCATGCTCATTTTTGTTGTGTGCAGCCATGTTTTTGCTGTCAGGAGAAGTTTGGTTGAGTCTTTCATTTTAGATGCCGGTTTATGTGATGGGGAGTGACAGTGGTCAGAACCCTTTATCTCTGGGTAGTGTCGAGTCTGGCCTCAGTTTCCACTGGAGTCTACGCAAAGCGGGTGTGCTGGAGATCAAACCAAGGCATGCAGAGGTGAGATGCACACACAAAGCATGAATTGACTTGTTTGAACACTTGTTTGTGCATTACGCTGTCTGTTTTAGGTGGGCGTTAGTGTGTCTCCCTCTCACAGTTTCTCTGCGCTGGTGAGGGCCAGAGCTCCAGGCAGGACCAGCCTCAAAGTGTGTGTGCAGCTCCAGCAGATAAATGCCAGCAACACATCACTCTCTGATCATCTCACTGACGAGATACAGATACTGGTAAATACATCCTCCACAAAGAACCACCAATAGCAAGCTATTTAAAGGAGTCACGTCTTGAGGAAGCAGATTTTCCTTGATCTTCTGAGATAAAAGTGTTCACTATACTATAAAAACATATTGTGGAGGCTTTTTTTTTTAGTTTGCAATCTGATAGAATTAAATAAAGTTAATACTGTACTGTAACCCACTCAATCTTAAAATACATAATTCATCACATATTATTTTAGTCAAACGGATTAGGGCATGTTCAACAAGGCCAATTAGCAAAACAGGATATCTGGAAGTTTAAAATACTCAAGAATAAATTCATGGAAGAATAGTATTTAATCAAAAATATCATCAAAAAATAATTTAAAAATCATATTAAAATGTACACTACCATTCAAAAGTTTGGGGTTGGTAAGAATATATTATATATTAATATTATTACAATTTAAACTTTTTATCTATTTTAATATATTTTCAAATTTAATAATCCTGTGATGAATTTTCAGCAGCCATTACTCACATGATCCTTCAGAAATCATTTTAATATGCTGATTTGGTGCTCAAGTAACATTTCTTATTATTATTATCATTGTTGAAAATGGTTATGAACTGGGATACATTTTTTTTTCAGGAATGTTTGATGAATAGAAAGTTCAAAAGAAACAGAAATGAAGTAAAATAGATTTTTTTTGTAATATTAAATTATTTACTGCCACTTTCAATCAATTTAATGTGCCTTTGCTAAATAAAAATATTAATTTTGTTTAAAAAATAAATCCTATTGACCCCATACTTCTGAATGGTAGTGTCTAAACACAAATGAATACTACTAGTACCTACTAATAAAAATATTTACTTTCATATTATACGAAAACATTTCAACAAATGTGAAATACATTTTCGACATGTACTAAAGCATTTTTAGAATGTGGAGTTCACTCTAAATGTATTTCTTCTTTCTTGTTCCCCTCTTTTCTCAGGTGTTTGAAGAGATGCAGTTAACAGCAGGAAGCCCAGGATCCATCCTCATGTCTCCCCTCTCTCAGTACCCCCTGCAGAGCAATAAGTGAGTTTGTATGCCTGTTTCATGTCAGAATTATTTTTTTTTTTTTTGCCCAGCTAGTCAGTATCCACTCCATTAAGTCTGTTCCACATCACTGCAGTTCTCATGATGATTTGGACGAATAATGTACCTGATCAAAATTTAATTTACTTTTTTTTTTTTCTGAAGTATTGGATGAAGTTGGTTTCATGTAATCTTAGACAGAACATCCACAGACTATTTGCTGTTTAGTCAAAGGTCTGGTCATGCGTAGAATTTTTAAAATGTGTGTTTCAGAGACTGTCCGGTCCATTACACCCTTAGCCGCTGTGTCTCAGGGGCAGGACTGGTTACTGTTGATGATCAAGGAGTGTTAAGGACAGGGCCTGATACAGGCCTAGCTATTTTGGAGGTTTATGCCATGGACATTTGTGGTATCAACCAAACACTTCTGATCACTGTGGAGGTGAGTGTTTATTTTGATAAATACTGTAGGTTACCCTCATTTTAGATCCTATAATGTCAACATCCTTCTTGCCTTAGGTGTCAACAGTGTGGTTTGTGCGTATTTTGACTGTGTCATCCGTGAACAGTGATGGTGAAAGAGCTCTTCCTGCCTTCCCTCTGGGCTGGAGCATCCGTATCAGGGCTCTATACTATGATAACATGGGACGACAGTTCCACTCCCATAATATACAAACACTGGTCACAGCTAACAGGTAATTACACAGATACATGTTTATGTTTATGTTACTCGTGGTAGTGGTCTAACCTTATTTTTTCTGTCTCAGAGATGACCTTGTACAACTGATAGTTGACAAAGGCAGTCAGCCGTTTCTGGTGCAAACGGCAGCACCCGGTCTAACTGTTTTGAGGGTGCAGGGAGACACTACAAACCCATTTCTGAGCGATTACACCCCTCTGTTTGTGATGCCTGCCATCTCAGAGCCCCCAGGATTCCTGCGCTCTGGGGATGTTATCTGTTTCAACTCTCCCATTACAGACCAGCAGGGTAAATCACTAGGTTACTAGGAAGCAGAGCACCAGTTTTAGTTTTCAGAAACAAACCCCTCTAAACTAAAACCTAAAGTATACTCCATTATTGACACAAAAACTAAATATATGCATACAGCCGAGTGTCATAGTATATTCTATTTGATGGTGTGCCTGTAAAAGGCACTAGAAGGGCACTGTAAAAAGCCTCTAAAATGCGCACTAGAAAGTTTTATTCTTGTCTAGTGTCTGTGCTATTTCTCTTCTGAAATTATGACTGATAAAATGCTTTTGTACTTGTTTAGAGTAACTCTTAAACCCGTCACACAAATTCTTGTCAAAGCGGGTCTTGTTCCATCTCATCCTTTTCTTTTCCGACTTTGAAACAACAGCTTTGCCCAGTGTTGCCACCTTGTGGACAAAAAATGAATGGTGCGTGTGCAAGCTAAACGTACAAAGTACTCAAGGACAGAAAAATCGACTGCACATGTCAACATGCGCATACTGTGATGATGAAAAATTACATCATGTGCACTGTATGCATACCTTGGTTTTGCATTTGTTTTTCTCTCTTTAAGGTCAGCGAGGCAGATGGGATGTGTCATCAAGTGAGATCCTTCAAATGAACTCTGAGACAGGAGTAGCATTTGCAAAGAATTCTGGGACAGTGGTGGTTTACTACATGCTAGAAGGGGGACAGCAAACCTTCAGAGAGGTAATAATCAGTGCCTCTGTGTAGTTACATAAGTGTTCTCATGTTTTGTGACATAATAGCTCTGTTCCAAAACTTAGTGAGCTGCTTATGGAGAACGCATTTTAAAGGGGTCATGTGACGTTGCTAAAAAGAACATTATGTTGTGTATTTGGTGAAATGCAATGTGTTTATGCGGTTTAAGGTTAAAAAAACACATTCTTTTCCACATAATGTACATTACTGTTGCTCCTCTATGCCCCGCCTTTCTGAAACGTCGATTTTTACAAAGCTCATCGTTCTGAAAAGTGAGGTGTACGCTGATTGGCCAGCTATCCAGTGCGTTGTGATTTCCTGAATACCTCAAGCGTGTGACGGAAATATTACGCCCCTTACCATACTGTGATGCCCTGTGTCCCAAACACAAAAAGACAAAAACAATAAATCCCATTACAAACGATCTATTGCATCCAGTGGGGACATAATTACTGATTATAATGACTTATACTGTCTTTTTACGCGTTGCGTTGCGTATCGCGCTGCGTAAACATAAAACCATATCTGGAGAAACGACAGGCGCTACAACATTTGGGCGGCGTTATGCACATCTTCCCACATCGTGACGTAGACATGTGGGGGGGTGTTAGAACGAGCCATTTTAGGTAGGCGTGGTTGACTCTTAACTTTTATAAAGAATATCTCTTTGGATTTGAGACTTTAGTCTTTGCAACTTTACAGATCTTCTTTATGCACCAAGAGCTTGTAACACTCCAAAGAGAAAGGAAAAATTTAAATTGCATCATATGACCCCTTTAAGGCATTATGGGTGGCAAAACAGTTCTGTTTATATACCTTACCTTGTGGGGGGTGGGACAATGGGAGGCTTTTGAGTCAGAAAAGTTTGAAAACCACTGATATAGTGCATTCCAGATCAGGTCCATCTGTTAGAATGTGGAGAGGCAGCTCACTAGGTTTTGAAACAGACCAATTGCGAATGTTATAAATTAAAAGACTCCTCTGGTGTCATGCAGGTAACAGTGGAGCCTGCGTCCATTCCTGTGTTCATTCCTCCTGCTGATAGGCTCCTCATTAACTGGCCTGAAGCCTCAGAATATACAGTCAGAGTGGATCTGAACACCTCTGCTGCCAACACAGGTGAGTCCTTTCCAGGGGTGTGAAGTAACGAATTACAAATACTCACGTTACAGTAATTAAGTAGTTTTTATCAGTAATTGTACTTTTTTGAGTAGTTTAAAAATTGTGTACTTTTACTTTTACTTGAGTACATTTTAAGTGATGTATCGGTACTTTTACTCCGCTATTTTCCTCCGTTTGTGGTCGTTACATGCTTATTTTAATTTTATTTTTATTCATCAACGTGATTGGATAAAGAGTAATAGGTCTCGTGACTTTCGTCAGATCAAATTGTTTATAGAAAACTATAACAGCCAACTGTTTATCATGGCTGCTGGAAGCGCATTCTTCAAGCATCAATTCAGTCGCATGTTGCTCTAACTTAGTATGTTAAGGTAAATTTCGGATTTCTGCTTACTAAATGGGTTGCTACTGTATATGCTTGCCTGTCTACACAGCCTGAAATTTGGTGTGAGGTTGCGGTTATTGCACACACTGTTAACTCCCACAAGTGCCACGTTCGGTAAATTCCCACTCACTTATGAGACGCGCGAAAATTGAGGACCAATCTGCGTTAATACACTGCATCTGTGCCAGCGCGTGATGTAATAAAACTGAAGCTCGTTAATAAACGTTTTTTTGTATTATTTTAATTTTTTCAATCCATTTTATACAATCCGCCTTCATTTAGCAAGTGCACTCGCGCATAAACAATTGTCAAGTTCAACACTTTTTGTTCCATTCAGTTGTGGATGCTGCTGATTCACCAAGACCGCCGCGGCTGAGCAAAGAGACATGCGTGTGTGTGTGTGTGTGTGTGCGTGTGTATGTGTGTTTGTATTGCTATATTAGTGAGGACCAAAATGTGACAAAACACCTTTTAAGTGAGGACCTCTTGGTAAAGTGAGGACAAAATCGTGGTCCTCACTTTATTTTGCTCAATATAGCCCCCAGGAGGGAGGGGCATTGTGCTATGCAAATTTCTCAGATGTCCTTACTTCAATATCAGATCATGACGAAACTGTGTTTCCTTTATTCTCCTGAGCTCCCTCTAAAGGATAAAGACGTGTACTGCAGCCGATTTATTATTGGCTGGAAGAGAGCAGCTCCGTGTTTTTGATTGGTTGGCTTGGTGATTTTTGTGATTGGTAGGCCAATGAAAAAAAACATCTTTAAAAGAAACTGTATTTATTTCTTAAATATCACAATTACTTTCCGAAATAAAGAGTACATAAAATACGATGTCTGGATTTCAGCAACAACTGTCTCACAAATTAATTTAAAATGCAATTGATTTTCAACGAGCTGCATATAATGGCGATGTATTATGCGCGGCGAATCGGTGTGGGTGTTATGCTTTTTGGCGCCAGCATTACGTCACGTGGCGTATGTAAATCGAGCTCGCGTGCCGCGACCGTGACAGTGACGTGTAGAACGACGAGAGAAATGTCGGAGCGAATGATCCGGAGACTGACGCGGCTGCGGGAACACCACAGAATCTGTGAGGACAGACACCGGAGGAGCTGTGTGAAGGACGAAGTAAGTCATGTTTTAAAACATTAACTATGAACTGTCGATTTATTTTACTTGAGTATATTTTTTCAGTACTCTTTCCACCACTGGTCCTTTCACACCTCCACATGAGATTCAGGGAGGCCGCTGTTCACAACCATGGAAAACACCTGATGGGCCGTTAATCCAACTATATAAGGGGAATTTAAGAATAATGATTAATAATTAGCCCATTGGGAAGTTTAAGAGATTATAATCCAGATATTAAATTCTGTCTGGAGGATCCACATGCCCCCCTTTAATCATTTGATTCTTAGACTTGAAATAATTCTCAGTGGTTATTATCTCTAACTCTTTAATATGTGCAATTAAAATGTGGTGGGTGGGAAGAGAAATTATCTCAACTTTATTTGACCTGCATAGATCTTAGATCTGGGCAGGATTTTGACTTTCAGAGACATGGATAAATTCCTGCACAGATGGAATATGAGGTTGTGATTGACTGAATCAGATTCAGATACAAGTAGCATTTCTGGCATGGTAAAAAAGATTTACATTGCCAAAGCATTGATAACGTTAAATTAGACACACACACACAAAAGTTTGATAAAATAAAAATGAGAGGGAAAAGGCAAAAAGGTACACAATGATTTGTTTTATTTAAATGCTGTTTTGTTATTTAAATAAACTGTATGTAGTTTTTTTGTATTTTCACAACTTTGGAGCTCACCAAGTGAGTGGAATCACTGTCGTGAATATAGCATTGTCATAATTACAATGGATAGCTGTACATTCTCAATGATCCAGAGAGTTGTTCAGAAAAGAGGAGTTCTGTCATATGCTGGGTATGTGTTGTGGGGAAGTCGTGGCCTAATGGTTAGAGAGTCGGACTCGTAACCCAAAGGTTGCGGGTTCGAGTCTCGTACCGGCAGGGATTGTAGGTGGGGGGAGTGAAAGGCGTTCTCTCCCACCTTCAATACCACGACTGAGGTGCCCTTGAGCAAGGCACCGAACCCCCAACTGCTCCCTGGGCGCCGCAGCATAAATGGCTGCCCACTGCTCCGGGTGTGTGTTCACGGTGTGTGTGTGTGTTCACTGCTGTGTGTGTGCACTTTGGATGGGTTAAACGCAGAGCACTAATTCCAAGTATGGGTCACCATACTTGGCCACATGTCACGTCAAATTTTTATTTTTTTTACATGTGTATTTGTTGCTGCTGTAAAGCAACCCACCCCTTTTCCTGAATTTCATACCCAAACGTACATACTCCCAGAACAGACGTTTAGGGGGAGCGTGGGAAAAACCAGAAGCCATTTGCCTTATTAGAAGTCAGTGTACCATCAGAGTAATTCTGAAACTGATATTTCAAGGTTTTAAAAAAGAGCTTACAGTTGCTTTAAACATTATTTAAATGTTATTCAGTATTGACAATAGTGTGTGCTTGTGACTCTCTCTCTCTTTCTGTCTCCTTCTCCATGGTAGCTCAATGCAATCTAGACCAGTGGGAGGCCATAGAGAAGAAACTACATCCTGAGGCAGAGCTACTGTGCTCGCTACACTTTGGCGCCCCCTATCCAGAGATGAGAATACTGCAAACTATCTTTAATGCAACACCCTTCTACAATTCATACACTGGTGAAACAAGTTTTACATAAGATTCTGTATTAAGCTTCATGTTAAGTTTGGAGTCTGAGAGAGCCTAATGGTATTTTAATAACTGGAAAATCACAGTGAAAATTGATTATAAACAGAATTTTAAACTTGAAAACACATTTGAAACATTCTCAATTTATTTTATTTTTATTTTATTTTACCCCAACTGTTTTTAACACTGATAAGAAATGTTTTTTGAGCAGCAAATCAGCATATAAGAATGACTCTTGAAGGACAATGTGACACTGACGACGGAGTATTTTTTGCTGAAAATAAACTTTTTAAAATATATGAAAATAGAAAACATTTTAGATTGTAATAAAATCAGTATTACAGATTTAATGCATTTTGATCAAATAAATGTAGCTATTTTATTTTATGTTATTAAGTGAAGCAAGCCTGTACGATTCACTTCTAACCTGTATGTCGTGTCCTGTTTCAGCTCAGTACAGCTGCAGGATCTCTGTGCAGCCCCAGTCAGACTCCATCCTCCATCTCCTGTCCACTTGGCCTCTCTCCATCCATCTGTCTGCCTGTCTGCGGACTCAATCAGCCCCAGCTGCCCTGCTGTCGCTTCCTCAGTCACCCCCTTCTTTTCAGCCTTCCCTTCAGCTCCCATACGTGCCAGCATTTCATTGTCCTGTCACAAAAATCAAACTTTCCTCCCAGCGGCCTGTGGCTGAAATCACAGTGTTTGGCACCACAGACATGCTCAGCACACTTAAGGTGAGAATGAGAGAGATCATGTGAGAGATGCATTTGAAATGAAATCACTTTTCAGTTTTTTTATTTCTTCACTCTTATCTAATTAGGTTAAGTCAGACACCCCAGACATTGTGTTATCTGATCCGGTCCGGTCAGATGAAGACCCCACCCTCCTCCTTATTTCAGTCTATCCAACCTCACATTTCCTGGATCATGTACCATCTACTGCAAGCATTACTCTGTACACAGACCTCTCTCCACAAAAGCACTTTGTGTTGGTGACTGGAGTGATGGACAACCTGGAGTCAGGTTAGAGAGCAAGAGACACACTTTTCACAATATTCTACATGTACACTAATGTTCAACAGTTTGGGGTCAGTATGATATATTTTTAAAGAAATTAGTATTTTTATTCAGCATTAAATTGTGACAAAAACATGACATCAAAGATTATATTTCAAACAAATGCTATTCTTTTGAACTCTCTATTCACCAAAGAATCCTAAAAAATGCATCACAGTTTTCATAAACATATTAAGCAGCACAAATGTTTTCAACATTGATAATAATCAGAAATGTTTCTCGAGCACGAAGTCAGCATATTTGAATGATTTCTGAATGATCATGTGACACTAAAGACTGGTGTAATGATGCTGAAAATGCAGCTTTGCATTACAGGAATAAACGGATCCCTGCACATGACACGCAGACAGAAATATATTTATTGTGGCCACAAATTTTTGTTCTTTCATTTTTAATTGATTCCCTGGTTTTAGCACATGGCCATGATCTACTACTCGTTCATTCATTTTAATTAAATCGTGGCCACAAATTAAGAATTTAATTAAAACCTAGGGAATGAAAAAGTACAAATTGGGCACAATTACAAAAATTAGTACAGTGTGGCCACAATTGACTAAAATAAGGGAAAGGATTGATCATTTGTGGGACAAATTCATAATTTTATCAAATAAATACAGCATTAGTGTGCAAAAAACCCCCCGAAAAGATTGTGTTAACCCCAAACTTCTGAACAGTAGCGTAACATATATATATATATATATATATATATATATATATGTGTGTTTCTGAAACTGTGAAAATGCTCTTTATTTGTATGTTCAGGTCATCTTGGAACAAATTCTGGGCACTTGCTCATTTCAGTATTTGCTCTGTTTGCTGTACTGGCCGCTACTGCTGCACTTTTCATAGGTAGAGTCAAACTTAAAAGAGTTTTAACTTCGGATTCTGTGCTACACTGAATGTGCTTGATGCCCAGTGGTTCACTTTAAAGCCGTCATGTGATTCAGAATCAGGATTTGAAGCTTTGGCCCTGCAGATTTTTTAATATTCTCTTAAATGTTTGATTTCCACAGTGTACAATACCATGCTGTCTCTCACACAGACTGTACCTGCAGTCCTCACACCCTCTACTAATGCAGGTGACACCCCAATTTTATTTGATTCAACTGCTTTACCTTAAAGGTGCACTTAGTACTTTTTATGTTAAAGTCGGCATGAATTGATAACTCACCCTGTCTATTTTTAATAAGTGATCTTATTGTGAATGATTCATCCCTCCTTAAATTTGTTTTAATCAAATGTCAGACATCAATCTTCTGGTAAAACCACTTTTCTCTGGTGGCTGTATGAAGGACTTCATTTAATCCTAATCCATTTAAATGCCGCCCCTTTCTTACAATCATTTGCAAGCTCACATTTAGATGTACCTCCATCCAATCAACACCCGATGGATTGAACAAAGTCCCTGCCCTACATTGTTTTCTTTTGGATAATCATTTTCACTCAGATGAACATCACAATACAGAAGAAAAGTTACTGAGCGCAACTAAATTAGCATGTTATGGTTCAAACGTGCTACCAGACCGATATGCTTTTTTCTAATTTTCTTTCAGAAGATGACAAAAGAAGACATTTCTATCTGTGGCTTTCACCATCGCTGGCAACACCAAAAGTCCTGCCGAGAAAACGGTGGCTCTGGAGTACTAAATAACTTAATGTATCTTTTCTTCCCTCATGTTATTCTTTCTGAGCCACAGTGAGAATCTTTCAAGTAAATGGTTCTTTCATTTATTAGTCTATACCATGGCTGTCCAAATTCGGTCCTGGAGGGCCGATGTCCTGCAGTTTAGCTCCAACTTGCCTCAACACACCTGACTGGAAGTTTCTATGCCTAGTAAGAGCTTGATTAGCTGGTTCAGGTGTGTTTAATTAGGGTTGGAGCTAAATTCTGCAGGACACCGGCCCTCCAGTACCGAGTTTGGACAGCCCTGGTCTACACAATTCAGCAGTAAACACATGCAAATTACTTCAGGGTTTTTTTTTTTTTTTTACTTATGCTACCTATCTTTCTTACTCTAAAATTTGAGGTCAGTATTTTTATTTTTTTAAATAATGCTTTTATTCTGCAAGGAAGCATTAAAAGTGCATCAAAAGATTATCAAAAGTGACAGTACAGACATTTATAACATCCATAAATATTTCTTATTCAATTGAATTCTGTTGTGAACTTTCTGAACTTTTCATCTTGAAAAAAAATAAATGTTTCAGATTCCACAAAAATATTAAGCACAATTATCAACTTTGAAAACAAATGCTTCTTGAGCATAAAAATGGCATATTAGAATGATTTCTGAAAAAATCATGAACAATGAAGACCGGCGTAATGGCTGCTGAAAATTCAGCTTTGAGCCGTGACACTTTCTGTAATATCAAAAAATTGTACTGACCCAACACTTTTGAATGATAGTCTATGTATAATGCCTGTCACGTGTGAATAGTCTGACTGTTGCTCATCTAAACAATGCATTCAATATTTAAGGAAGAATATTTGTATTACCTGGTGATAATATTAAGTTGTACAACAGATGAGCATGACACTAAAGCTCTATATTTATGTGGCAGTGACAATGCAGATAGGCTGGTAAATAAGCTACCACAACACACAGATAAATGAAAAATGAACCTTTATTTTAGTAAGAGAGGGAGAGAGAGACAGGTTTGGTGGTTATACACCTCACACGCTCCGTGTTCAGACAGCACTTTGACATTTCAAGTTTTCTAGCACTCTTCTCGGTTTAGCTTTGATCTCCACTGCCCCGTTATATATCAGAAACACGGCCTCGGAGTCACTGAAATCCCTGTGAAGTGGCCAATCCTGTCTCTCCTCCCGTGGTCTCCCTCCTTGCATAATGGTTAATGAGAGACTAGTGCTGCTTTCTCCTGAACGAGCATCCTGTTAACAGAGAGAAAGATCAAAGCTTTTAGAATTCAGCTTAAAATCAATTCTATATTTTGTCACACAGTAGTGGAAAATGTATTTCTATGAAAAAAAAAAAAAGTGAAAAGTTGTTCAAGACAAACATTTTAAAGAATGTCATAAGCGTATCGTTTCATGTAGGTTGCCCTGGCAGGTGCTTGATTAATGTGCCTGAGGTGTTTTCACCAACGCATTACTTTATTTTCATATCCGTAAATGTTAGAAATTCGTGAGTAGATTCATTTTGAAAAGTTGCTCATCTTGACAAGGTTCTTAAACCTCAAAAGACTTCAGTGAGCAGAACTGAGAAATGCATTTATATATATATATATATATATATATATAAATAAATAAATAAAAGGCTTTTTGTTTAATCTGAGGAATAAATTAAGCAAAGATCAATTATTAAAATAATTGTTAGTTGCCATAAAATTCTCAAAAAACTAAATTAGCGTTTTATAACCGTTATAATAAAGCAATTAAAATTATTTTAATAATAGAAAATATGAATGTCAATTTATGGCTGGGGAACTAAATAATTAGATGGTGTTGAGTGGGACAGAAACAATCTGCTACTACCTCTCCCACTTTCTGCTGAACTTTATGCCAGCAGGGCAGAGTGTTTCAGAGCTTCACCAATCATCAAGCTTTAGCTCAAGAAGAGAACAATGATCAAGTGGGAAACACTGGGGTGGTCTGTGTGGGTGTGTTGCCATGGCACTGGTACATTTACAAGTGCCTGTATGTGTATCTCTGATCTGTGAGTGCACTTCCAACCATATTTCTCCCACACGAAAACATGAATTCATTAGTCATCTTCTGACGACTGTATTTTAATGTGTTAATGTGACATGTTCTGACTGCTGCTGTAAAGAAGAAAATCCCACTGAGGGATTCTGCTTGTGGGATCAGATTTATCAAGAAACTAGGTTCTTTCATGCTTTGGGCAATCCCTCTAAACTCATGTGCACTGGTGGCTTGTGTATACAAGCGATACCTTCTGTGAGGCGCGCCTTTCCTCCGGTGGGCTGGCACAGTACTGTAGAGCATCCTACACATAAGACCACTGTCTGTGCGTGACTAAACACCGTAGTGATCTTATAACAGCCTGCAAAGAGAGAATGGTGAAAAGTTTTAAACACTCCATTACATAAGCTTGTGATCACATATGCAGGACACACAGCATAGGACCCAGAAAGCAACAATGCCTGCCCACTTTTTCAACAGCCTTGGTTCTAGAAATATTTTCTTATTCTCTTTCCCCCATAAGGATTAAAAAAAAAAAATTTTTTTGAAAAGTTTTTAGTTTTGCAGCGCTTCATGTGAGTGGGTGGGTGCTGAATAGCTCTTTAGGTGCGTTTTGCTTGTTTCGATTCTCTTATATGGTTTGTCTCTAAAGGATAAGTTATTGTTCAAAATCCATTTCCCTATGGAAAACATTAATGCTTAAAGTTACATCTTATAATTCATCAGGCATTGTACAGTGATCGTAATGACATAACCAGGGGTCTTTTTTGGTGGATATTGAGATGGAGCAGGGAGTCTGGGACCCTGTTACAAAAACTGATTAGGCCTACTGCATTTTAAGCCTGGATTATAACATTTCTGGTAGTACCATCATTATGCATTTACACTGCACTGCAAACTGTGAGCTCTGAGGTTGTTAATCAATGGTTTATGCTTTTATTAAAACCCTCAACCCGCATTATTTCAACTTATCCTACCAATAATCATGTTTAATGGTGGAAACAGTTTATTTTTATCCATTTTATTTCATGTCGTTCACACCGTTTTATGGGATTTTAGTTCATTCCCTTATTAAAGCTGTTAAGCACAAAGTCTTGTACCTTTTTGTCCAAATTTCAAATACTTTTTTCCTTCACATAAAAGTTTGTATTGTTGTGATTCACCTTGTAGCTGGTTGGTTCACTTCATAGCTTATAATGCTTAAACGGAGACATTTTAAAAATCTCTGTGGGGAAAAATACTTCCAGAACAAAGGCCACTGAAAATGTTGTCCTTTGCTCCAATAACTGACAAAGTGATAGCTCTGTAACTAATGTCCCGTAGTGGCTCGGCTTGTTTACTCCGAGCACTCAAGTCTGCAGATGTTACCTGGGCATTTGACATCCATAAAATAAGAGTTGGGACTCTGTACGAGACGCTTCTTCTTGTGTCTTCTCTTCTCCTCCTCTGGCGTTGGGTGCAACAAGTCCTTCGAGAGCTAAAAAGTGATGAGAGATGTGTCAATCACATTTGCAAAGGCTCAGCTATGGTTTATCGAGGACGCAGCCATGTTATGACATCTCGACAGTCACAACAACAACAGAACACAAGCACCATATAAACGCTAGAACTCAATAGCGGGAAATGTCACACAAGTGACAGCTGCATAGGCTTGATGATATAGCTGATAAACTGATTATCAAAAGATTAACAACACTGCCACTACAAAGGGTGACTCGATTCTTCACTTTCCGTTTAACCAACTATAAGACGGACATGCTACCAATATTCCACCTTCAAAAATAATAATCTTTAAAGTATTATTTAATTACTAAATCTCAACGTATCATGTTTTATTTGTACAGGAAGCGCGCTGCTCGACATGCTTCTATAAGCACATGCACGCGGCCATCTTGTTCCGATCCACGTAGCACGCGCTTCGCTCTTTTCTACCAAGTTTAAACCTGTAAATAGGTGAAATTAATATATCGTGGCCGGTAAATTCATAAAGACACGATCCCCCCCACGTCATCGACGCTATTTAATCCAAACACCAGGCGTGATTAGGTCTTAAATGGACTTGCTTATAACAGCACGCACTTACAGGCATTTTAGCGACAGCGGAGCAGCAGCCGAAAAGGGGGGGCGAGCGGAAATACCCGCTTATATGAACGGGGCTCGTGAGCAGGGGCAGGAAATACTTCACTAACTTTTAATAAAAGCATTCTTCTTAATTCATTAACAAAGTACTGAGCTTAGACAGCCTGTGAGTTATGTGGGTAAGTTCAAAGGCTGTTATATAAACTCTCGGACGTCACTCTTAATGAGACGTAATAATAGGCAACCTAATATATTATTACAATAATTAAATAATAATTTAAATATATTCATATTTTTAAAATTTATTTGGGATCCTTTCGATTTTACTTTTCAATCCTTTTGTAATTTCATTATATTCAAAAATTCAAAATATTGTTAAATACTATATAACTGTATAAATAATCGGCCTACTAAAACAATGGTGCTAACACATTTCCATTGTGACAGGAACAGCCAATATGGTCCCAATTTGCACAACTATTTAAAATTAATTCATCACTACTTATGCTAAACAATTGATTTCAGTACAGTGCTTTAGAATAGCGATGTAGTGTTTTGGGAAGAACCTTTAGACCCATTAATTGTACCCTATCATAGATAACAATATTTAAAAGTGTATAATAAATGTAGGCCTACTATAAAACAAATTAGGCTACTATTTAAAACTTAACATGCCGTAAGGCCAACGGTCCTGTCTGATTTCTCAAAAGGCCACAAATTGATCACTTAAAACGTTATTTTAAGTTTAATTTTTTTTTGTTTTAAACGTTCTAAAACATTGTGTTTGTATTCTTGACAACGTCATAAACCATGCTTCGAAATGTCAAAAACAAACCCAAAAAAACAAACAAACAAACAAAAACAAACCCTGTTTTATTTCAGCATTTTGTGTGTCAATGGTGCCCCCTGTTGATTGACGCTGTTGTCGGTTCTCCTCAGCACTGTTTTATTAAACCTCTCCCTCCCTCGACGTCAGCTTTTGGGAACTTGGGCAAGGGAAAGTTTAGGGAGAAAAAAAAAATCTGCTGTTGTCTATGTATGGATGAATACTGAAAGCCTTTCGTACAGGAGAGAAAACTAGCGCAGTGTAGCCCGAAATGGCGAATGCGTGGCATCCGCGCTGAAAAACCTAACGTTACCGCGGACGCGTTTAATGGGCTGTGAACAAACTTTTCCATTTTGTTTTCATGGAATTTTTTTACCTCTTTTCCGGACGGACAGAGGCAACAAAGCGAAACTTGAGTTTACCGGTGACAGTATTCCAAGGAAAGAAAATCCACGAAGTTTCAAACGAGGACATCAATCAGACGGAAGGATTTTAAAAGGCTGCGCGCGTGACTGTGTTAAGATCAAATCGGGGAGAAACTTATCTAAAACTTGCTAAAAGATCTGGGTGAAACGAACAATGGCAAAGAAATACGACTTCCTCTTTAAATTATTGCTTATTGGAGATAGTGGTGTTGGCAAGACCTGTTTGATCATCCGTTTTGCAGAGGACAATTTTAATTCAACGTACATATCAACCATCGGTAAGTGACCAGAATGAACCTGTTTCAAATACTGTTTGATATGGTAAGATGTTTTGCTCTGCTGCCAAGTTTCTAGCTTGTACAACAAGTGCTACCCAAGTGTTTGTTCATGTCAGTACTAGTCCAAACGTCATCTCATTCCAGCCTGCCCCAGTATAACTCAATCAGTCCTGCGGATCATCCCGTGCGCTGTGTATCCTCCTCCCTGATTGCATTTCCGGCCCTCTCGCGCTACTTTACTTCGGCCAGCCACTGCCTGCCCCTCTCTGTATCTCATTTTTCAATCTCTCTTCCACCCCCCCCCCCCCCCCCCCCCCCCCCCCCTTCACCCAGATCTTCAAAAGACCCCTTCCCTCCCTCCCTTTTCCCATCTAATTCACTGAAAAACAAACCAGGGTGTCTATTAAACCACCAGAGCAGTGATTGTATCTCATTATGCCTGCTCTTGTTTTTCTGAATGTAGCAGACATTCATTAGTCCACTTTCATTATGCCTCTTGGGGTTAAAACATGTTCACCCTTCCTTTCTGCCCCTCCTGGTTTATCTGGTTCCCCTTTTTCTTTTTCCTAGGTATTGACTTCAAAGTGAAGACCATTGAGGTTGAGGGAAAGAAAGTCAAACTTCAAGTCTGGTAAAAATAACATACACACACACACAAACATATATATATATATGTACATATATACACACACATTTAATATTTTATATCATTTATATTTTATTTCAGTTAAAATGTGTTTTAAGTAATGATTTTTTATATAATTTTACTTTTAGTATTAGTTGACTATAAACTTTCCCTAAATATATATTTATATATTTTTTAAATTATTTTTGTTTAATTTTTTTTTTTAAACCAGTGAAGCTATGAGTACTCTTTGTTTGTTAAATCAGATAAGTTAAACTCATGCTTTATTAAAGTATTCAGTTAAAATTATTTACATATGTACAGAGTGTCTGCAAATACAATGGCAGTGTTGTGTACACAAAAAACGTCTTCGGTGTCTTTTTCTGTTTGACAGTTGACTGTTAAAACTGTAAGCTCTGTGTAAATGTGCCAAAGGTGGAGTCCGGTTGACTTTAGCTCAGGCTTCCTAGTACAGACCTTCTGACAATTCAATAAAGTCATTTATGTGGAGGTGATGACAGCCTGAAGTTCAAAGTCCAGCTGCCATAAAAGATGTATATTAAACTTTTTTTTTTCTGACAAGCTTTCTGAGCGCTAAAATGTCTGATGTGTGTAACTGGTTTTATTTGCTAGGGACACAGCAGGACAGGAGAGGTTTAAGACCATCACTACTGCATACTACAGAGGGGCCATGGTGAGACGAGAAATATGTTAATGCATAATAATCTTTTTGCTCCTATAGCTTGAATATCTAGAAACTTACTTATGTGATTATTGTGAAACCCAGATTATTTCAACAGTTATTGGAGTATGGCAAATCATACACATTTTGTTAATGGTGTATTATTTTGATCATATCTTTCAGGGCATCATCCTTGTGTATGACATCACTGATGAAAAATCCTTTGAGAATATTCAGAACTGGATGAAGAGCATCAAAGAAGTAAGAGAGAAACAGGAAAATAAAATCTGATAGTCATTATAGGAGTTTCTTTAAAAAAAGGAATGCAGCAGATGATTAAACGAATTAGTGCTGACTTACCTTTTTACTTATAAAAGTGGACATATAACCCTTAGCATATTTCTATGTCCCATCGCTGCTTAGTTTGGACAGCTTGACCCATTTTGTTAGGGAAATAAAATCTAATATAAAATCTTAATGTGTAGGAATTGTACCTTAGTAGTTGACTTCAAAGGGTTGGTATATTTCTTTTGTTATTATTTTTTTTTTTTAATGTACAGCATAGCAATTCAATCTTACTATTGCATATAGAATTATTATAATCATACATTTTCTTGCAACCTCTAGAAAAGCATAAAATGAAACAAGCTTTATTAAATGTGAGTTTCAGTTCTTGATAAGATGCCATAGGAAGTAGGTTTCCAGAAAAGAGATGCCGTGTAAGTACAAATGGGGCCTTTTGTTATCAGTCTCGGTTATGAAGAAAATGAGGAAATGAGTGTATTGTTATGTTCTGTGTTTCCCAGAATGCATCAGCAGGTGTAAGTCGGATGTTACTGGGCAACAAGTGTGATATCGAGTCCAAAAGGAAAGTGTCAAAGGAGATAGGCGAGAAGGTAAGTGCTGTCATACATTCTGCCAATATGCGGATCCAGGTGCATGCAAGGTGTTTTATTGGTGTTATAAATGGCTTTTCTGTCAGTTTGTTTATAGCATGTAAACATATCACTACATACCACATGTGAAGTTTGTTAATTTTGGTACTACATAAATGTTTTTTTCAGCTGAAAACAAACTTTAAATTATTTTATTTAAAAAAGTGTTTGTCTTTTTTCATTTATTATAGCTCGCAAAGGAACATGGTATTCGATTCTTCGAGACTAGTGCAAAATCAAGCATCAACGTTGATGAGGTATGGATTGATCGATTTAAGATATGTTCACTCAACAAACAAATGAACCCTTTTCTAGTTTTAGTTTTCTAGTTTCAGTCTAATTCAGTATCATTAGTTTATAGTCACAGTTCATCTTTATCTGTTATGCAGTTATCTGCAGTGGTGGACGAAGTACACAAATCAAGTACTTGAGTAAAAGTAGATACGTATAATAAAATATTACTCCAGTAAAAGTAAAAGTACTCCTTTTTCAATTTTACTCGAGTGAAAGTACAAAAGTACTCGATTTTTTTATGTACTTAAGTAAAAAAGTACTGATAGATAGATTTATTTAGCAATTTTATATAGGCTACTTAATTTAATTTTATATTAGCACATACATTTTATAATCCTACAGTAAAGCTACTCCGTTACTGTCCACCACTGGTTATCTGCATTCGTTTTGTATTCTGAATAATGATTGTTTTGATATTGAGATAATTTATGAGTTTCAGTTGCAGAAATGTCTGTGACAGTTAATAATAAAAACATAAATAGTAAATCCGTGCATTTCAGTGTGCTTAATTTTATGTAGTTAGTCTACTTTTTGACAGGATTTAACTTTCTCTCCATAGTCTTTTGCTGCTCTTGCACGAGACATTTCGCTGAAGTCAAATAAGAAGCCGGTGAGTTTTCAGTGTGTGATACATAAAATGGTTATTGATGCTTATTGTCTGCGTGTTCATACCGAAATAAACTTACAATCACTCTTACGTTTTTAAGTTCTAAAGTGATTCATCTCTTCTTATTTGTATTTTTTATCCTGACTGATGTCACATGATGTTGTTTTAATCAGACAGATCTAAAGATTAAGTTAACAAGAACAGTAACAAACCTACCGGGCTGCAAGCATTATATTACATTTCTTATGTTTACTGTTTTTACAGGGTCCATCTGGTCGTGAGGTTAAACTTACCAGCACAGAGAAAAAGTCCTCCAAATGTCTTCTTCTTTAGATATGCTTTTAAGCAGAGGATGGTCTCACTACACACACACACACACACACACACACACACACACACACACTTACACACAGAAACATTGCAGTGTTAATGCCTGAAAGTTCTTTGCAAAGTGAACATGGAATGCTAATAGGAAGTGGGTTCAAAGGATGATGGCACTAGTAAGATATGAAATACATGATATGAGATATGAAACAGGGTACAGCTTTCATGTAGTTAGAGGAAAATCACATTTTTTTGTTACTTCATGTTTAGATTTTCGCACTACACAACGAAAACAGTGACTAGGCTACAGTGGAGACAATGTTGGTTTTACTTGCATAACAAGTTTTGCTCAGTCAAAATGGAGAACAAGTACCTAATGAATTTCTATCTTTTGGCAACTTCAAGTGAAATATATAGTCCAGTTTGATGGCTAGTCAGCACTTTTTGAAAAATGGTTTGAATGTTCGTTGCTATAAAAGGTGAACAACTTCAAGTTTAAAGACTTTGACCTTTAATGGATGGATAAGAGATTTTAGGATGTTAAATGAGAAAAGAATTTATGGATTATGGTTGGGAATATAATAATATTCCACTGACAATTCACAGTGTGTTTCTCCAAAAGGGATTATGGCCAGACATAATTCACATATTTGGTTTTGCATAATTTTTGCAAATTTACGTCTTCCTGCCGTATTCCACTTGTCTATATTCTTTTCCACAGCATATTTCTCAGAATTTGTACACTGATCTGCTTTTAATAAAGTAAATAATGTTCAAAATCTCGTACATTTTAACCCTTTTTTCCCCCATTTGTGCTAATAACAGCTTACATACAGTAACATTGCAGTGTTAATGCCTGAAAGTTCTTTGCAAAGTGAACATGGAATGCTAATAGGAAGTGGGTTCAAAGGATGATGGCACTAGTAAGATATGAAATACATGATATGAGATATGAAACAGGGTACAGCTTTCATGTAGTTAGAGGAAAATCACATTTTTTTGTTACTTCATGTTTAGATTTTCGCACTACACAACGAAAACAGTGACTAGGCTACAGTGGAGACAATGTTGGTTTTACTTGCATAACAAGTTTTGCTCAGTCAAAATGGAGAACAAGTACCTAATGAATTTCTATCTTTTGGCAACTTCAAGTGAAATATATAGTCCAGTTTGATGGCTAGTCAGCACTTTTTGAAAAATGGTTTGAATGTTCGTTGCTATAAAAGGTGAACAACTTCAAGTTTAAAGACTTTGACCTTTAATGGATGGATAAGAGATTTTAGGATGTTAAATGAGAAAAGAATTTATGGATTATGGTTGGGAATATAATAATATTCCACTGACAATTCACAGTGTGTTTCTCCAAAAGGGATTATGGCCAGACATAATTCACATATTTGGTTTTGCATAATTTTTGCAAATTTACGTCTTCCTGCCGTATTCCACTTGTCTATATTCTTTTCCACAGCATATTTCTCAGAATTTGTACACTGATCTGCTTTTAATAAAGTAAATAATGTTCAAAATCTCGTACATTTTAACCCTTTTTTCCCCCATTTGTGCTAATAACAGTATAATAAATATGTATTTCTCACCTCTTTTAGTTAACGACATAAATGTAACAAGTACGAAGCTTTCAGTTGGCATGAAAGGTCGCCAACCGTTGTGACTGTTGAAGTAGGTTGGCAAGCAACCGCCCACCCAGTGCAGCATCAGCACCTCGCTCTGGGTGAATGCGGTGCCGCATTGAACAAATATTACGGACACGTGCTACCATAATGCGCTGCATATTTGATCTTTCTAAAACGGAATCCCGCTGAAATTGCATCGGATAACGTTTACATGGCGTAAAGACATTATGCGTGAATAACACGTACGCAAAGACACTTCAAGTCTGACGCGATTACGTAGTGATGCTCGTGTTCGGGATACGGACGGGACGGGAGTCCTCGTGACTGCGGGGGAAAAGGGGGAGACTGAACCTCGGATAAAACTCCCTCAAAGGGAACACCATGGCTTTATATTTATTATTCAAAACAAGCGGATGCATCATGGGAGCAGCATAGCGAGTTCTTCACAACAAACTGCCCCCGCGTGCCTGTTTTCATTTCCTTTTGCTGTCGATTGGTTCCTTTTTTCTTCTGATACCGCTGTGCTTCATGAGACGTGTTTTCCGAGTTCAGGTGGGGGCTGTGGGGCTCTCTAGTGGAAACCCGGTGAAGATACACTTCGTTGAGAGCAGGACTTGGATTGATTTGTCCTCCTCCGCGGAGTAGCCAGAAGGCCAAAGCTGCTCCGCTCGCTTGCGGATGCGGAAGCTACTCGGCCTGCTAAAGGCTCTGGGTACCGCAATGCCGCGGGGATGGGGAGAGAAAGACGGCAGGTGGGCGATGGAGCAAACCAGATCAAGGGATATTGGAGAATGCAAATATACGACGCCAAGAATAAATGCTGACACAACATAAGTGTGTTTCGTTGAGTTTTATCCGCTGTGGACTTAATGTTATATAGACCCTAACTGCATATCTAAAGAAGTATATTCACATATTAAACCGAGTCACATAGTCCCACAATTTAGGAAGTTTTTCAGTAGCCACCATGCCCTCACCGTCGGACTCCAGTAGCGTGGCCTCGATGTCAGGGTCTCGAGCTTTGTCTGGGAATCGCAGAGGAATGTCTGGGCGGACCAGTGCGCGCGTGCTGCTGTACCTGGGCTTGTGTCACCTTGCGCTTGGGGCCATGGTGCTGGCCTTCAGCTTCACAAGCCTCGCCTTCACCTCATCACCCCGTGTTAGACAGTCCTGTCCTTTCTGGGCTGGCTTCTTTGTAAGTTTCTTTGATAGTTTATTTGAATATAATTGGCATGACGTGTCCTGTAGTGGAACATGCTGTATTTCATATCTACTGTCAATCCCACAGGGCCATTTAAATACATTGCAATAAATACATAACAATAATAAAAAAATGTTTAAAAAGGGATAAAAAAAAATAGTTAATTCAACCTCATGTTGTTCCAAACCTGTATAAATTCATTTCTACTGTGGTACGCAAAAGACGATATTTTGAAGAGACTAAAAAGCACCATGAAAGTAATATAAAAGTGGTCAATGCATCTTTTGCTCTGAAGCTATTTCATATAGTTTTGTGTGAAGAACTGAAAATCTATCCCTTAAACATGTTTTTGTTCTGTTAGGTTGTGGCGTCAGGAGTAGTGGGTGTGATATCATGGAGGAGGCCCTTCACTCTTGTTGTACGCATCTTTATCATCTTGACAGGATGTCTGTGTGTTTGTCTGCTCCTCTTAGTTTCTGCAGTGATGCTGTTTTTGTTTCGTTCAGGTGTCGCTGTTCATGCTGCTGTCTGCAGTGTGTGTGATTCTCCCAGATGGAGAATCGTCTGTGTCTTTGCTGTGACCTCAAGCAGACGTGCTCTCCAACAGAAGATGAGACACTAGTGCTCTACCAACATACAGACTGCCACTCTGTGCGTCACCAGCTCAAGGTGGGGTCCCTTAACTCTTATAGGGTGTTTGGGATGGTCCCTGCCCCCCAAAGCAAACACTACACTCAGGTGTTTGAATACGTTTGAGTTTAACCATTATATTATATGTGTGCAGGATCTGCTGTTCAGTGCCTGTGGTCTTAGTATTCTCTCTACCATTATCTGCACTCTGTCCACGGTCACCTGCAGCATTCATATCTTCTCTTTGGACCTAATGCATCTAGTGAGGCAAAATCCACAAAATCTTTGCACTAAAACACTAGTTTTTAATAGCTGAATTTTTCTTTCAAATGTTACAGTGTGTAGATATACTCATGACCCTTTATCTCATCCCACTCTGTTTGTTGTAGCTGGCTCCTCATCGCTCTCGCTCTGTTAACCCGGAATGCACCACTCCTCAGGATGCATTTCTCAGTAACATGATGGACTTTGAGGAGTTTGTTCCGCCCATTCCCCCACCACCGTACTACCCTCCTGAATACACCTGCAGCTCAGAGACCGATGCACAGAGGTGAAAATACACACACACACACACACACACACACACATACACACACACACACTTTTTTGCTTTTGTTTTTCCATCATTTTGTGCACTTTCCATTGACTTTTCTTGTTTCATATTGAGCTAATAAAATCTCCTAACTCTACCTCTAATATGAAACCTTTAAGAAAATGTTTAAAAAATTTTTTAAATAGTATTTAGTATGTTTAGTAAGGTCGCTTACATACTTGAGATGCTCTGACAGAATATTGTTCAGTTAAAGTGTTCTCAGTGTAAATGTTCTTGAAATATTTGTGTTCAGTCTTTTTTCTCAATCTATTTTTTGTTCTTATAGGCATCTGTCCATTTTAACTACACTTCTTCTGTCATGCCTTTTCTTTTAATAATTACTTTTTCTCATGCCTCATTTTTCTGTGTGTACCTGCAGTGTCACATATAATGGATCAATGGGGAGTCCAGTGCCTCTGTACCCAACGGACTGCCCTCCTCCTTATGAGGCAGTGATAGGTCAAAGGGCTCCCAGTCAGGTACATGAGAGCATTGAGGGGTGTAAAGATGACTTGTTTAAACGGAAAATAAAATTCAATGCAATGTTTATAGAAAATAATTATGTTTTATGATTACTATTATATGGAGATTATATATATTACATGACATGCAAGAAAAAATCAATAAATCGTGCCCACGATTTACTAATTCGTTCCCTCGATGTACTAAAATGTGCACACGATTGCTATTTCGTTCCCTCGATTTGCTAAATCGTGCGCACAATTTACTAATTCGTTCTCTCGATTTATCAATCGTGTGAACGATTTAGCAAATCGAGGGAATGAATTAGTAAATCGTGCGCACAATTAATAAATCGAGGGAACGAAATAGTAAATCATGCACATGATTTAGCCTACTAATTTTTTCTTGCATGTCATGTGCGGGGCTCCGTACTGTTATTATTTAAAAAAAAACAATAATGTAATTATATATTTTTTATTTATATTATTATTACAGCCAATGTCTAATGTGTTTTCTTAACTTATTCAAACCAAGAGTTTTTAAATGTTTTTTTAATGCTGCATTAATTGGATAAAAAAGTTAAAATAGTAATATTGTGAAATATTATTACAATTTAAAATGTCTTATTTTCTGTTAATATATTTAAAAATGTAATTTATTCCTGTCTTGCCAAAGTTGAATTTTCAGCAGCCATTACATCCTTCAGAAATCATTCTAATGTGCTGATTTGCCACTCAAGAAATAGTTATTATTATCAATGTTTAAAACAGATGTGCTGCTTAATATTTTTGTGTAAACAGTGATACTCTTTTTAAGAATTCTTTGATGGATAGAAAATACAAAAGAACAATTTATTTTGAAATAGAAATCTTTTGTAACATTATAAAAAGGTCTTTACTGTCAGTTTTGATTCATTTAATGCATCCTAGCTGAATAAAAGTATTAGTTTCTTTTAAAAATTTTCATGGTATCATGCTTTGCATCATTTTGTAAAGAATTGTAATTATCATCATTTTGTAATACTGTGGTCATGATGTCACTCTCACTGTTCGTAGGCCACAGTGTTTGACACTCAAGCCGGTGAGCTGTCTGGAGAGAGAGGAACATCCACAGCATTCAGTGGGGAAGGTGAGTCTTGCCTCTCTTCTGTTCATCCTTTAGCAAACTGTTTTCACCTGGTATTAAAAGCATAGTTCACCCAAAAATGAAAATTCTGTCATCATTTACTCACCCTCAAGTTGTTCCAAACCTGTATGAGTTTCTTTCTTCTATTGAACCTAAAAAATGTGGGTAAGCAAACAGTAGTTGGTCCCCATTGATTTCCATAGTATGGAAAAAATGAAAAACTATGGAAGTCAATGGGACTAGAAACTGTACAACTGAATTACTTGAGGGTGAGTAAATGATGACAGAATTTCCATTTTTGGGTGAACTGTCCCTTTAAGACATGTTTTTGGTCAATCAGTCACAAGTGGACAGCCAAGACGCATTCTTGTTTGCACCACATGGTATTAACGTGCATTTCAATTGCGTCTCCTCTGATCACTTATGTTCAGATTTTGTCAAGCCCTTTTTTATGTACCATCCTACATCACGGGAGTTCCAAGTGCGTATGAATACTATTAAAAGGATAGTTCACCCAAAAATGAAAATTACCCCATGATTTACTCACCTTCAAGGCATCCTAGGTGTATATGACTTTCTTCTTTCAGATGAACCCAGTCGGAGTATTTAAAAATATCCTGGCTCTTCCCAGCTTTATAATGCAGGTGAATGGGTGTTATATTTCATTAGTCCAAAAGAAGTCCAATAAAGTGCATCCATCCATCATAAAAAGTGTCCCACATGGCTCCAGGGGGTGAATAAAGGCCTCCTGAAGCGAATCGATGCATTTTTGTTAGAAATATCCATATTTAAAACTTTATAAACAGTAATCGCTAGCGTCCGCTGACTGTCTGTCGTTAGTCTTACCGGGGGGTG